TTTCCAACAACCCAAGAGACGACTCTACACATGGACATCACCAGACGGTCAACACAGAAATCAGATTGACTATGTGCTCTGCAGCCAAAGATGGAGAAGCTCTATACAGTCAGTAAAAACAAGACCAGGAGCTGACGGTGGCTCAGATCATGAGCTGCTTCTTGCAAAATTTAGGCTTAAATTGAAGAAAGTAGGGAAGAGCACTAGGCCACTCAGGTATGACCTAAATCATACCCCTGATGAATATACAGTAGAGGTGACAAATAGATTTATGGAATTATATCTTGATAGACAGAGTGCCTGAAGAACTATGGACGGAGGTTCGCAACATTGTACAAGAAGTAGCAACTAAAACCATCCCAAAGAAAAAGAAATGCAAGAAAGCAAAATGGCTGTCTGAGGAAGCTTTACAAATTGCTGAGGAAAGAAGGGAAGTGAAAGGCAAGGGAGAAAAGGAAAGATACACCCAATTGAATGCAGAATTCCAGAGAATAGCTAGAAGAGATAAGAAGGCCTTCTTAAATGAACAGTGCAAAGAAATAGAAGAAAACAATAGAAAGGGAAGACCAGAGATCTCTTCAAGAAAATTGGAGACATGAAGGGAACGTTTCATGCAAAGATGGGCATGATAAAGGACCAAAATGGTAGGGACCTAACAGAGGCAGAAGAGATTAAGAAGAGGTGGCAAGATTACACAGAAGAACTATACAAGAAAGAGCTTAACGTCCCTGATAACCACAATGGGGTGGTCACTGACCTCTAGTCAGACATCCCAGAATGTGAAGTCAAATGGGCCTTAGGAAGTCTGAGCAACAACAAGCTAGTGGAGGTGACAGTATTCCAGTTGAGCTATTCAAAATCCTAAAAGATGATGCAGTAAAAGTGCTACACTCAATATGCCAGCAAATTTGGAAAACTCAACAGTGTCCACAGGATTGGAAAAGGTCAGTTTACATTCCAGTTCCAAAGAAGGGCAATGCCAAAGAACGTTCAAACTACTGCACCATTGCACTCATCTCACATGCTATGTAGCAAAGTTATACTCAAAATCCTACAAGCTAGGCTCCAGCAGTATGTTGACCAAGAACTACCAGAAGTACAGGCAGGATTTCTAAGAGGGAGAGGAACTAGAGGTCAAATTGCCAACATACGCTGGATCATGGAGAAAGCTAGGGAGTTCCAGAAAAACATCTACTTCTGCTTCATTGACTATGCTAAAGCCTTTGACTGTGTGGATCACAACAAATTGTGGCAAGTTCTTAAAGAGATGGGAGTACCAGACCATCTTATTTGTGTCTTGAGAAACCTATATGAGGGTCAAGAAGCAACAGTGAGAACTGGGCACGGAACCACTGATTGGTTCAAAATTGAGAAAGGAGTTCGGCAAGGCTGCATACTGTCGCCCTGTTTATTTAACTTAAATAAACTTATAAGTTTATTTAACTTATATGCAGAGCACATCATGAGAAAGGCGGGCCTAGATGAATTACCAGTTGGATTTAAGATTGCTGGGAGAAATATCAACAACCTCAGATATGCAGATGATACCACTCTCATGGCAGAAAGTGAAGAGGAACTAAAGAGCCTCTTGATGCGGGCGAAGGAGGAGAGCACAAAAGTTGGCTTGAAACTCAACTTTAAGAAAACTAAGATCACGGCACCCGGTCCTATCACTTCCTGGCAAATAGATGGGGAAGAAATGGTGGTAGTGACAGATTTTATTTTCCTGGGCTCCAAGATCACCACAGATGGGGACTGCAGCCAAGAAATTAAAAGATGCTTGCTCCTGGGGAGGAAAGCTATGGCAAATCTAGATAGCATACTAAAAAGCAGAGACATCACCCTGAAGAACTGAGGCCTTTGAATTGTAGTGCTGGCAGAGACTCCTGCAAGTCCCTTGAGGAGATCAATCCTGACTGCTCTTCTGGCCTTCTAGATCCTGAAGATGAAACTCAAATACTTTGGCCACCTAATGAGAAGGAAGGACTCCCTGGAGAAGAGTCTAATGCTGGGAACAATAGATGGCAAAAGAAGAAGGGGACGGCAGAGAATAAGGTGGCTAGATGGAGTCACTGAAGCAGTTGGTATGAGCTTGAGTGGACTCCGGGGGATGGTGGAGGACAGGAAGGCCTGGAGGAATGTTGTCCCTCGGGTCCCGATGGGTCGGACACAACTTCACGACTAACAACAACAACAAAATAAGATACAATGTCATACCGAGATCTTCCAGTTTTTTGGATGTATTTGTTCGTAATGTTCTCTGGATGACATGTGGCCTACCTGTACTGCTCTGTAACAAAAAAGAGGAACAGCTTTTATCACATAGGTAGTATAAATTTAAGTAAAAGATATTCTAATATATGGAGCATTTTTCACAAAATATACACATGAAGTTCTACCATGAAAAATATCTAGGTTTAAATAGCATGACAGATTATTCCAAATGTGAAAGATCCTACTTGTATATTATATAAACTTCACGTATATAGAGGAACATACAATCAATTTTAATGCAACAATGGACCTGCAATAAAATGTTGCTGCGTGGAGTGTTCTTGTGCAGGTGCCAACTTGCCATGCCCTCTTCAAGGTTAAGTAATTCCATTACCCCTACCCACTCTGGTTCTGCATCTCCCCAACAGTGAGCCAATATTCAGTGGTCACTGACCATGCTCAGCCCTCATTGCAGGACTTCTTCTCTAAAGGTTTGCTTGTTTGCTTTAGTTCTGCAAAAACCTCGGTTCTCCCAGTCTTCTGATACCCCCTTCCCTGGTACATAGGCGGTACTGTTTTCCACTAGAGAAAGAAAAGCAGCTGATGACCACTTTGGAACCTGCCTCAGCTAGATTGTACCTCCGTCCATAGGACCTTTTATTATGAACTAACAAGTGGGAAGAATTCTTAGCAGTTTTGTTTTGATATTATTTATTATTTTATTACAGCATATTTAGTTTATTTGTAAGCCACCCTGAAAGGATTTTTATTCTGAAAGGCACGATAGAAATATAATATATAAAATATAAACTTACTGAACTGTGTTCAAATATCCTTCCATACTTTACACAGGAAAGTTTTTAGTTAACAAAGCAGTTTTCCTTTTTCTTTTGTTGTTCATAAAGAAAATATGGCAGCCAGTTTCAGGAAATCCTGTACCTCTAGAGCTATTACTAGGGCTTTAAGCAGATGACCAGAGATACAGGAACCAGACACATGACTGTGGCTTTTCTAGGATCTTGAGGACATACAACAATAAACTGTATAAGCACACAGAGCCATCTTCACTCTATCCTTCTAATTACTGGACCGAGTTTGGTGGGGAGATGGCTGTGTGCACCCACTTAGTCTTAGCTCCTTCCCTCTTCTCTTTGTGAGTTCATCCCACTTTTTTTTTTCAACAGGACAGGCCAGCCATGACAGATGTCCACCTAAATTCTGATTTTTCCTGCAAAGGAATAGTTCTGCTCCTTTACATGTGATTCAGAAGTCTATCTTCTGGGTCAGGATTTCCCAAACATGGATGTCTGATATCTTCAAGGAGAGAAAACTGTGATTTCATCTACATATATGATGCTTGCCATACGCAGTTAACAAAGATCAGAGAAACAATGGTAAGATTGGGAAAGCTGGATTTCAGCTTAAAACAGAGAAGGAAAAACACAGAGAAATGGAAAATAGTAAGGTCAGGAAAGGCTGAGGTCCTGTGTCGGTGGGGCTCCTTATCTATTTCAGCTTTTATTCTGAGCTTAATAGGAACTATTCATTGTACTGCATGCCATCCCCAAAATAGGTTCATTACAATGGTGCACTATTGCTAGTTCCTATAAAGGTAATAAATAGATAACAAGCTCCACTGACATAGAACCAGCCTCCCCTGAGTAAAGTGCTTTGTTAAATTTGAACTGAAGAAAAAGGGTATGTATGTGAACAAAGGTCAGTAAAGGTATAAAATGAACAAGTTAGAGAATCTGGGCTTTAAAACACCATTCTCCAACTTGGTGCCGTCCCAATGTTTTGGACTATACTACCCATCTTTTCCATCCAGCATGACCAAGAGAAGATACCAGTTTGTGAAAGACTGTTTCCAAGAATTTTTCATGTGCTATACTGTTTATTATTTAGTTCACCTTTACTCTTTCAATCTTGCAGTTGACTTTGTCTCAAAGAATCTATCTTCAATCTTGTATTGAATATTTTCATTTTAGGCAGTGGGCAATAAGAGCAGTCTACCAATACTAGTAGTATGATGTGGCTGGCAGCAATTTTGGGAAGCCATTGAAGGGCAGCAATTCACCAATTTGTTGTTGTTATTGGTTATATTGTGCTTATATTTCCTCCTGCTCTATTTATATCATTGTATTTATATTGTATTTTAATCCTATTATGTTTTATGGTTTTGGTTGTTATTGTTGTTTATTTGCATTTGTAT